TTGGGGGAAGGGGAGCTGGTGAAATCCGTGGTCAGTACTGGGAGGGGCGACAGTCTCAGGGAGAACCTTCTGGCTGGTGGAGGCCACCTCAGCTTGGCCACCCTGTGAGCGGCGGGTCCCTGTTTCATTTGTACCACGGTGCTTGCAGCCACAGCAGAACTGGGCCGGCCACTTTGCCTGGCTCAGAGCATTTTGTAAAATGCTTTCACTTGTGGGGAAAAATCCCTAGTTCCCAAATCTCAGCTCCATCCCTGTGGTCTCCTCCTGGCCCAAGTCTCAACCGCCCCGTGTCCCTGCTGGCTCTGTCCTGAGCGTCCACAGAGCACCCGATGCCGCCTGGCGGCCCAGCCAAGACCTCCTTGTCGTGCTTTCATTCCTTCTCGTGCTTTGAGCCTCCTTCACGCACCCAGCAACCTTCCGTCACCGCCCTACGTCAGGCCTGGCCCTGGGCAGGGGTCAGCGAGCAGAACAGGTGAAAACCCCTCCTACAGTTTCCCTGGAAGGAAGCCTCCCGCTTTCAGCACTCCCAGATCTCACTTCCAAATATATTTGTTGGTTAATATGCATTTGGGTGTTAAGCTCTTAAAACATTTATTAAGTGTTTACTCTGCGCCAGGCACGGTTCGAAGCGTTTTACACACATTATCTCATTGACATCTCTGCCGGTTCCCACCAAGCTGGTGGTGGGAACAGTTCTCGTTTCACAGCCGAGAGGCAGGCACGGCAGCCTCACATAGGCCTGTGGGGGCCACACGGACAAGCTGAGTTGTGGGGTCCCTCCTCGGGGACCCCGTGCGGCTCAAAGCCCCACATCCTGCCGCACTGGCCTGCTGCTCGCTGGTCCTGGCACATCCGCAGGCCTAATGTTCCTGCCAGGAGAAGAGCCTCACGGACGCGTCTCTGTGCACAGGGGGGTAGCTAATGCTGGACACTCGGGTGTGTGACTTTTGGGGCACCAGACCCCAAAGTCGCTCCCTTCTGAGTCCTCAGGGCCCCTCATTCCGTGTATGGGGTAGTGGGTGAGTGCCTGTCCCCCTCGCGGCCCGCATCCAGGCTCCACCACGGGGCAGTAGAGCCATTTCCTAGGCCTGCACGGTCTCCCTGCCCTCCCCTCTAAGCGCCTCGCTCCCCTCACCCTCAACACTCTCTTTTGATCTCACAAATCCAGGCCCTTGGAGAAATCAGACAGTATGAAATATGAAAACTGCTTGGGAAGTAATTGAAGAAACACTGTGACTTTTGAAACCCATAGAGATAACACTCACACCTTCTTACTCACGTTATTTAATTTTTAATGGCAGATTTAATTAATGGAGATCAGGTCTTCTGGTTTCAGATGTGCACACGGAGCAGCTGGACGGGGGAGGGGCAGCTGTCTGTAGGGCGAGGAAAAGGCCCCCAAATCAGGACTCTCAGGAGCCCAATGGGAACGGGACATCCCCCAGAAATAATAGCTCACGATCGCTGGGTGCTCAGTCGTGCTCTGCCTTCCAGGGCCCGCGCCCCGCAGCTGACTCGGAGGTGGGCACCAGGGCTCCTCCCGGGCTCAGGCCGTGCCTCCGCCAACACTGGGGTTATCCTGCGGGGGAGTCCCAGGTGCCCCCTGGTAGTGCGCTTCGTCGCCCAGTCGTCCACACAGCTGCTCGACTGTTCTTTCTAAAATACAGACCCATCCTGACCCTCCCTTGCTTAAAAAAAGAAAACCTTGGCCATCCTTCATTGCCAGTGAGCTGGGGTCCAGGCTCACAGCCCGCAGCTGAGACTCCCCGGCCCGGTGCCTTTCTCTCCAGCCCCTTCCCTCACCCTGGCTCCTGGTGCAGCGATACCATCTGCCATCTGCCGCGTGGTGCCCCTCGCTGCCCCCGGGGCTGCTGCCTCACTTACGAGACCCCCCTCGTTACTGGCTCATTTCTGCTCATCTGATCAGGCTCGGCCCATTACAAGTAAGCGTGCCCTTTGACCCAAGAGTTTGACTTGAGCGTGTACCCTTTAGACACGCTCACCCACCACAAGTTAGCGATGCGGAGATGTGCCTGTCAGCGCTGTAGCCAGGGAGACGGGGAAAGGTGGGGCTGCTCACGTGAGCTGGGGCAGCCGGGCCCGCAGCGGATGGCTGCTCACGGCGCAGCGGGCGAGCCAGGGGCGGAGTAAGGAGAGCGCGGCCTGTGCGGCGGGGTGAAGCTTGTTTCAGAGCAGTGGCTGTGTGTGGCCGAACTTACCGTGCACGCACAGTGGAGGAGGGCAGCGTGCGGGGCCTTGGGTGACCCGTGGCTACTGGCCCCGTCCCCTCTGTATGCTTTTATCTTTTTCAAAAACATTGCTTCCTATAAAATAAAATTTAGTCCTCGATGCAGGCGCCTGCTCCAAAGGTCTGAAGGTCCCTGCCAGGCTGCCCTCTCGGGTGCCCCCGTGGCACCTGGGGATGTCTCGATGACTGCCCACTGTACCCACGGCACGGCATCACCCGCAGGTCCTGTGAGGCCGGGGGCCGGGGGCGCTTTGCTCCGAATCCCCCGACACTCTGCGGATTCTCAAGGCCCCCGATGGTGGCAGGGTCCGGGAGCCTGTGGAGTGTTCTGCTTTCCCCAGCAGCAGGCTGGTTTCCTGCAGCAGCCTCTGGAGGGCCTGGTGGGTGTGAGGGTCGAGACGCAGAGCCTCAGGGGCCGCTCAGCCCTCCCAGCTGCGAGCTGTGTGCCCAGGAGCCATGGTGGGTACATCCTGGGGTCTGCTCAGACTGAGGGTGGGCCTGGGCAGGAAGGGGAATTCCGGCTGCGTCATTCTGGAGACAATAGAGGAAGCTGCAGTGGGGTAATCACAGCTACTTCTTGGCCTGTGGGCACTTCCTGTGACAAATTTAGCTGACCACACACTTGGTCTGCAGTTGCAGTCAACTCAGCCGCTCACCGAGTACACCCGGGTCGGGCCCCGTGCTTGGGGAATTGGTGTCAGAGCCAAGGTGCTGAGTCCTGTCAGCCTGCTGGGCCACGTCTGGGCCTTGGGCGTGCCCAGAAAGGGTTACTGACAAGCAGTGGGGTCTGGGAGACGGTGGCCAGACACTTCTGCAAAGACTTGAGGGCCTGAATCACGCGGCCTTCTTGTGGGAGAGGAGACAGACCAGGGTGGTGGGGGACCTCAGGTCGGACACACATCAGCTTCAGTGGTGTTGTGGTCGCGTGGGCTGTGGTCACTCCCGGGAGCCTGGCGCCCTGTGGCGCGGCCCGCCTGCACTAAGGTGTCTCAGCCATTCCGTGAGGGAGGGGTTCTCATCGCCCCACCGGGAATAAGGCTCAAGCAAGTGACTTAGCCAAAGAGCGCAGCCAGCATGTAATTCCAACGTGGAAACAAAAACTTAGGTCTGTGACTGTGACTGCAACGCTGCACAATTGGGGTGACCGTTGGGGTGGTTAGCAGGTGTGGTTAGGTGGGTCTCCCCCAGAAACCAGGGGAGAACATAGAGTTCTGAGCCTGTGTGGCCTGAGGCCACTCACCTCTGAGCTCCAGGAATGGGCGGGCCAGACTGAGTCTAAGCCATCCCCATCCAGGATGTCACAGAGGAGCTTCTGCGCAGAGCGGGGAGAAGGGGAGCCCCGATTTGATCTGTCCCTGTGTGCTTGCTCCTTCTGCCAGTACAGCACAGTTTGGGCGGCTGACTCAGACCAGATGAGGAGAACCCTGATCTCTGGGCTGGAACACTGGGGCTCCAGAGAAAACTTGCTGGTGACTTGGGTCAGCTCAAGCCTGCACCAGGTAGGCAGGCTCCTTGTGGCGTCTGCTGTCGTCTTGTCGCGCCTCTGGGGACGTCTGCCTGCTGGCCCAGTCACAGGCTGTCCCCTGGGGTGGTTTTATTATCGAGACCACTTCCTGTGGGAAGTCAGTTCACCGCGCATGAACCTCTCAGTGCACCACTGTGTGGTGATAGTTGGGGTTGGTCAGCAAGAGTGTTTATGTGGTTCTCCTCAAAAACGAGGGGAGACCTTGGGTTTCTGAGCCTGTGTGGCCTGATGTGACTATTTACCTCGGAGGCACACAGACGTCAAGTGACTTATCTAGAGTCACACAGTGGTGGGCCCAGGACTGCAGCCCAACTGTTTTGTTCCAAGCTGGGCCATCCATATGCCATCCTGGCAGGCAGGATAGAAGTGCCTGCCTCTGGAACCTCCCTGCCAGGCTCAGGGGAGACAGTTGCTGTGCCCATGAGCGCAGTGGCTAGGATGCACAGCAGGGCCCATGCCTCACTAAGAATCAGACACTTGCCCACTGGCCTGTGTGGCTTTGGGCAAGTTGCTTCACCTCTCTGGGCAGCAGAACCTGGCTATAAAATAAAAGTTGGGGCCCTCCCTGGTGGCGCAGGGGGTTAAAGCACAGTACTAAGAAGCTAAAGCCACTTCAGCATGAGTTCGATCCCCCACCCCGGAGGTGACCACAAGGCACGGCAGACCTCTCCCGATCCACCCGCTGCTCCCCTCAGCAGTGGACTTCGACAATCTGCCTGTTCTGCTCCCCACTCTGTCTCTGGTGAAGCCTCTCCCCACCCCTGCTCCTCTGGACAGTACCCAGTTCTGTATGCACAAATAAATAAATCTTAAAAAAAAAGGTTGGACCAGATCCGGACTCACTGAACTCCTTCTTTACAGACATTAAATCCTTAAGGCTCTGTGGGTCATACAGTCTCTGCTGGCACCACTCTTGACTGCCGGTGTGTCAGTGAATCATGAGCATGATGTGTTCCAGTAAAACTTGTATTTACAAAAGCGGGTGGTGGGCCGGTTGTGCGCATAGGTTATCCGCCTCTGCACCAGGGGATCCCCATGTCCTTCAGCCTTTGCTTCTCTAGGATGCTGTGGCTGTGGTGGACCCGTGGTGGGAGTTGATCAGTCAGCAGTCTGCTTTGATGCCGGTCAAGAAATTAACATCTGTCGATTTCTAAGGTGGTTGCCTCCCAGGAGGGAGCCAGAGGGAAATTTCCATCTGGGGTAACCGGTCTGCTTTTCTCTTTGTAGAATGCCGAGATGTACAAACTGTCTTCACAGCAATTCCATGAGATGGCTTCGAAAATCGAGGGCATGCTAAAGTAAGAGTGTGTTTCTTCTTCTTCATAAACTTAGCCTGTATTTGTAAAAGGTCCCACATGTGGCTTGAAACCTGCCACCACCTGCCTAATTTCAAAATTATCTAATAACACAGATGGCCATCTGTTCCTCCGTCCTCTCACCTGGTTGCAGGCAGCCACTGGTCATTTGTAATCAGCTCCCTCCCTGGCAAAGGGGTAGGGGTGTTCTGTGGAAGGCTGGCAGAGTTGTTCCAGGCCCGGTGTCCTGCGGGCCCCCAGGGAGCCAGGCAGCGGTGCTATGCCTCCTCCTTTTACAGTGGTGCTTCCTTCTGGACAACCGTTGCGCCTGACTCTCGGCCACGCTCTGGCCTGTCAACACTGAGAGTGGCTCTTGCTTAACACCCCCGTAGGACTGGGGCTCAGGAGAACTGGGGCCCTTGTTTTACCCCAGTAGGACTGGGAACACGGGCAGCGCCTTTGGCTCACACAGCGCTGAGCGCTGCTGTCCGTCCTGTCTGCTGTGTGCCTGCGCCAACAGGGGCAGCCAGAGCCTCAGGAAGGGGAGGCCGAGCCCGTGTGTCCGTCACGGGCTACGTGGTTCAGGGTGCGGGTCCCAGGCAGGTCTGTGGGGTACAGGGATGGGGGAGGCGGGGCGGGGAGCAGGGCTTGCGCTTTGGTCCTTTGTGTGAGACGGTCCCTGTGCACCCATAGCATGTCCAGAAATACCAGGGTCTCTGGCACCCTCCTCCCCTGTCAGGGGTCTCCGCCCCAGGAATGCAATGGGCGTTCCCAGGCAAAGCTGTCACTGTGCAAAGGGTGAGGGGATGACTTTGGCACCACGAGAGTAGAATGGCAGAGGGAGGCTTGGATGACGCAGAGGTGACAAACTGCTTCTAAACACAGCTGCCGCTGAGAGCTGTGTGAGGCGCCAGTCAAGGCAGCGGGGACAGATGTATGTTCAGGGGACCCGGGGAGCGGCGCGGACACCGGAAGCTGGATGTGGTGGGACCGACTGCAGGGTAGATGGGAAGGGAAAAGAGGCGTCTCAGAACTTCAGCTGCTGGATCAGTAAGAGGAGACTCAGAGAGAGAACTTCCAGCAGGCAGATGGAGACAGAAAAGCCCTTGCATCTGCCTGCCGGGACCCCGGAGGCCCGAGAACGAGCCAGCACAGCCACGGGGCTGCGAGGAGCCCAGGGCGTGGGACCTTCAGCAGAAGCCTGCTCAGGGGGCCGAGGCGGGAGGGGGTGGCAGCCATCTGGGAGTGTGAGACCTGGAGGCCGGCAGAACCAGCAGGGGCGCTCTCTCCGCAGCCCCGCATGGGACACGCTGCCGGCTCCAGAGGGCTGGCCCTTCACCTGGACCCGGAGACCTGCCCGGTTCTGTGGAAGCAGGCAGCTTACTCCAAGGAGCGGGCACTGCACCGCCTGTCCTTAGCGCTGCCTGCCGACCTCCCGGTGCCTCAGTGGGTGTGACTGTGCCGTCATCGCCTTTCTCGTCCTATGCCCTCCAAATGCGAGGGGGGAAATGCGCCATCTGAGCAAAGTATAAGGGCTTTGTGTTGGCTTGTGCCATCCTTGGTTAGAATTAGTGACGTGTACCAAGCCCATTACTAAGAGCCAGGTGCTATGCCAGGCGCTTCAGCTGTGTCCTCTCATCTGCTGCTGTTGGTTCTGTTTCACAGAGGAAGGGCCGGGGCTAGAGAGACTGACTGACTTGCTCACCTTCTCGAGACACAGTCACTCCTGGTTGCTGTCCAGGCTGGGGTTCAGCTTACCTCAGCTGCTTCAGACCACTGTCCCTCCTCACTGCCCTTAAAGTCTCTCAGAGTGAATGACAGGCCAGGAAGAGGGGCCTCTTACTGGTTTTGTGCCCTTGGGCAAGTCACTTAACCTCTCTGACTTCCTCTTCAGCAAAGCAGAGCTGACATCCCCTTAATGCTGAGGTGAGAGACCATGTGGGAAGCAGACCAGGGATGTCAGCCTTGCTGGGGAGTGTCAGTGAGGCTGCTATTCATAATGTCAGTTACTTGAATCACTTGATCTCGTTCATTCACTCACTGTACAGGATGCCTACTGATAACCAAGCAGCATGCCAGGGCCCTGATAACCAGGCGATATGATAAACTACATGGCACCAGCAGCTGCCAGCAAGGAGCTTACAGTACTCGAGTAATGACAAACATTTTGAAAATCATTGCACAAAAAGCAGTTTCCTACAGGATTGTTGGTCATGGTAATGCACTAGGGATGAAAACGAAGTCTAATTAACAAACACATGCCCAAACCCCTAGCCTGGAGTTGTACTTGGGGGACACGTTCTGTCTGGAAATGACGTTCAAATTGACCACTGCAAGATGATTAGAAGTTGGCCAGAGAAAGGACGGAGAAAGAGTATTTCAGAGGGCTCCGTGAGTGCGAAGGCCCTGGCCAGCACATTTCATATATTCAAAGAGGTGAAGGAGCCAGTGTAACAAATGAGGTGAGAGAGACCAGAGACAGGACGAAGCTCCAAGTCAAGCAGAAGCCAGACCACACCGACTTTGTAACCACATAGAGATTTTTCTTGTACCCTAAGCACTGAAATACATTTTAGTTTTTTCTTCCCGTTCAATGAAATACTGGGTTTTGTGTCTATTTTCTCAGGCATATTAATCACATTATGTTAAAGTCATCTGAGGGTCTGTTTTTGCTGCCTATTTTTTTTTTTCCTCTTGGCTCTATTTCTTTCTACACTGGGTAAGCCTTGATTGACTGCCAGCACCGTGCAGAGAAAGCACCGAGGCTCTGGTGTGTGGAGTCGCACCTGGCTTAACCTCCAGGAGGATACTTTCTGAAAATGTGTTTGCAGGTGATTTTATCACTGTGAATGTCACTGAGAGTGTGTTCACAAACTGGGTGCTGTGGTCTATCTCACACCGTGGCTGTAGCGGGGTCCCCATTATCCATGCAGTTACTGGTCATTGACCAAAACCTCATCATGTGTGACTGTTTTCTTCTGCCCTGACCCTTCATGGCCACCTAAAAGATGGCAGGTATCCTTAAATTCCGTGGTCTGAGCTGACTCAAGCTTGTCTGCAGTTTTGGTAAAACTCAGGCTACTTCTGATTCACCTCCTGTCTCTTGGGTATGACTTTCCAGAACTCTTGGTAATGGGTGAGTTCTAAACCCCTATTTTTGCTTCCTTGGAACAATGAGACATAAAATTCCACTGTCTTTCACTGGCTTTTTACTTAACTTCTTAACCTCTTGTCTTAAGTAGCTCATGAATCTGGCAAATGCTGTAGAAGAGGAAGCAACAGAGTATTATCTCTATTTAGTTTCCTTCTCTCTAGAATCCTGATCCCTCAAGTCCTAGCTGCCTTGGTAGAGAAACAAAACTGCATTCTCTCTCTCTACCGGCTGCCAGATTACCGGAAGTCCTGCTGGCTCCCACCTTTTTGATGAAGCTTTTTGCCTGACTCTCCATCTCCCTTCCTGTGTACCAGGAATAGACAAAAAATCCAAGAGGAAAGTGTTTGCAAGAAGGAACACTCACCTCTGCAGCCTCTTCTCTTCACCATCTTGACCCTTGGGTTCTGGTTTCCTGGTTTGTCTCTGTCTTTAGATGCCTTCAAACAGCTTTTTTTTTTTTTTTTTTAATTCAAACCTTGAACATTTTTTCTCAGTGGAGGACATTTTCTCTCACAGGCTACTCCACTGCAGCTGGGGACAGCTTTGGAGTGCTGACTAGAGTTTGCCTGGTAGAACAAGCAAGTACTCAAGCTCAGTACTTCTCATGAATCCCTGGTCATGCTGGCCAGTGACTCCCTGGCAACAGGTGACTTGCCCAACATTTCTTGAGCTCACCAACCTTGGCAGGGGAAGAAAGGCACCTGGCAGGAGATGAGTGTTGCCAGTGAGTCAGACATGCAAGGTTTGTGGACCCTGGTTTTGGACAGTCCTACCACTGGGATGCAAACGAACATACTGTTCATGTCCGAGCATGTGTGCTGTGTGCAGGGGACACGCGTTAGCATACAAGCACTCTCTCCCGCACAGCGCGCAGCAGGAGGGTTGTTCAAACTTTCTGAGGGTAGAGATTAGGACCCCAGGGAACATCCTGCATTTATTGTGTCACATCTATTTTTTATGGCAACCTTCAGTCCTCTTCCCGTGGGATTCATTCAGAGCCCGTCTCGGCTTCTCCCTGTCAGGAAGCTTGTACAGTTTTCCCCGACCCCACAGAGAGCCAGGCCTCAAAGAGGTTAGAACAATTGAGTTGAAGGAAGAAGGTTATTAACTGCTTCCGGAAACTGAGTCACTGTGCTCCAAAGACTTTGATCCAAAGAGGTCTGATTAATGTGGACACAGCCGGCTTGGAACACGCTCGAGCTGTGCTGCCCTGGAATGCCTTCGCCCTCCCCAGGAAGCATGGGTTTAGTAAATAAACTGTGTGTGTGAGAGGTGTGGATGGACCTACCTGAGAGGATATATTCTTTTCAGTTGGCGTTTTGTGTGTGTGTGTGTGCATGTGTATGAGCTAATGACAGATGAACAGTGTAGACAATGGTCATTCAATTGAATTCCAAATAATATGTCTCTCTAGCCTTCTTCAGTCAAGGCAACATTCCAGGTAGTCACAATTCACAGGTCATTTCTGTATCTTGCTTCCCTACTTTTTTTTTTTTTTTTTTTTTTTAAGATTTATTTACTTATACATTCAGAGCTGAGGTACAGGCCAGAGGTGCAGGGGCCATGAGAGGATTCACCAGAGACAGAGTGGGGAGCAGAACAGGCAGACTGACGTAGTACACTGCTGAGGGGAGCAGCGGGCGAGACAGCAGAGGTCTGCTGCACCATGTGGGTCACCTCCAGGGCCAGGGATCAAACTGGTGCTGAGTGGCTTTAGCTTCTTAGTGCTGTGCTTTAGCCCACTGCGCCACCAGGGAGGGCCCTCACTTTCCTACTTGACCTGACCTTTCTAATGAAGCATTTTCTATTCAGTTTCTATTTCTATTCAATTTATCAACATATGTGGTTC